TGTTTAGTTTCTTGTTGACCTATGTTAACTTATTCTTACAAACATTTAAAAAGAGGTATAGTTTACCCCTTTTCTTTTGCACGTGTGTATTTAGTATTTGTTAAGTTTTAAAGTTTTAAAGCGTACTTTTAAAAACTACTCACAGAATCATTCTATTTAATACCTTCAAACTCCACCATGACAAAGAAAGGATGTTATATATAAATCTCTTCTCAAATGCCACTTTTTTTGGTGATATATAATTAAAATTTGTTAAGAGACATGCATAGGTCCTAGGAGTGCAGATCAATGAAATTGCTGAAACTGGACACATTTCTCTGTGCTGCATCTGTGTCAATATACAGATATTATGAGGCCCCACAGAAGCCCCCACTGGCTCCTACCCTGTCACTACACCTAGGAGAACCTCTGCTGTGACATCTCACCACATACATTACTTTCAGCACATTTTAATTTTACATGAAGAGAATAATAGTGCATTTACATTTTAAACTGAAGTATAGTTAACTTACAATCTTGTGTTAGTTTCTGGTGCACAGCGAAGTGTTTCAGTTATACATATACATAGAAATATACACATCTTTTCCAAATTCTTTCCCATTAGGTTATTAAGAGATATTTAATAGAGCTCCCTGTGCTATACAGTAGGTACTGGTTGTTTATCTATTTTATACATTGTAGTATGTATATGTTAATCCTAAACTCCCAATTTATCTCCTCACCTCGTCCCTCTTTGGTAACCATATTTTGTTTTCTATGTCAGTGAGTTTATTTATGGTTTGTAAATAAGTACATTTATGTCATTTTTTTTGGTTCCACATGTAAGAGATATCATATACTTGCCTTTCTCAGTTTGATTTAGTTTACTTAACATGATAATCTCTAGTTCTATCCATATTGCTGCAGATGGTATAATTTCATTCTATTTTACGACTGAGTAATATTCTTTTGTATATATATACCACATCTTCTTATCCATTCATCTGTCAATGGACATTTAAGTGTGCATTTACTTTTTTGTAGTAGTTTTTAAAATTTTTCTTCTCTTGTTTGTAAATTTAAGGTTGCTTAAAGTTGTATATTATTCATTGGCATCAGTGTTAGATATTATTTTATGAATATCAAATGATTTAATCAGCTCACTGTTGCAAGGAGTGATCCTAGAGAAATAAAATACAAGGAACACTTTAAAATTGGTTTCTGGATTCCTGGAAATGGCTTTCTAATCTGATTAGGTTTAAAGACACTAATGAGATTATTTCCAGTAGTAAAGGGAGCATTGATAGTCAATGTCCTGTCCAGAAGTACAGATATGCAATATCTGCATCAGTATTATCAGGGTGACTGTGTATTATCACATCATATACTTTTGACTATTTGGGGAAAACTAACAGATATAATAGCATTGGCTGCTTGCTCCTAATGTTGCTAGAGAAAGAGATGAAGGAAAAGGTTGAGCTCAGGGATTTGAATTCACAGTTCAATCACCAGATAAATGACAAGAAGGCTTCTATGTGTGCACTGAAGGAGACCCTATCTCCTATGGCCACTTGACAGAGATTGCTGAAAACCAAGCACAGAATCTCAATCCGTTGGTACAAAATTTGGGGGGCATCTCAGAACAAAAGACTGTAAGATTTATTCAAATATATGTTAATAATTATAATTAGGTCAAGTGTTTTTTGAAAGAACTTTACTTCAGAACATTTTTAGATTTACAAAAATGGCAACTATTGTGCAGACTGCCCATATGTTCCACCCTCAGTTTCACTAACTCTTCATATATTAGTATGTAGAAGTGTCACAATTAATGAAGCAAGACTGATTAATTTGTATTAACTAAAGTCAATTCTTTCTTCAGATTTTTAGTTTTTCATTCATACCCTTTTTCCTTTCCACAAACTCATCCAGATAACAAACTGCATGTTGTAGTCATATCTCCTCTTTCCTGGGACAGATGTCAGATATTCCTCATTTTTAACAATCATGACCGATTTGAGAAGTACTAGTCTGGTATTTTGTACAATGATCCTTAGTTGAGACTAATGTGATATTTTTCTCACGATCAGTATGGGGTTCTGTGTTTTGGGAGGAAAACCAGAGGTGTAAAGAACCTTTTTCATTTCATCATATGAAGGGTACATAAAGCCAACATGAATTCTCACTATTCATGTTAATCTGCCTCTCCTGGATGAGGTCATGTGCCTCTGGTTTGCTCATGGAAAATTAATTTTGTCCCTTCTCGTGGTATATGCTTTAGAAGAAAATCACTATAAGCAGACCACATTTAAGAATGGGATGTTATGTTCCACCTTTTTAAGGATAGGTTTCAACATAATTATGTGGAGTCATTCTGAAAAAAGTTCTGTATTTTCTCCAATAAGTTATTTATTAAACCATATTTCATATCAGTTTAGACTCATGCACATTTATTTCGTATTTGAGTTATAATCCAATTCAACTTTTTCTAAAAACTCAAGTGCTCTACCTTGACCATAGGGAACACTTTTAGGAGGCTATTGTGTATCTTTGAAATAGCCCATCATTATGTTCTTTCTTTTTTATTCTTTCAAGCATTTCCTTACTTCATTGCACTATGAGATTCTCTAGGTATAATTTATTACACATATAATATGTATCCTGGATGGATGGATGGATAGATAGATAGATAGATAGATATCCTGTCTTGTCCTAGTCCCAGCTTCAGCCATTACTCCACACAACAGCAGCTGCTTTTATTAATGAATGGTGTAATAAACCACAATATGAACAACAGGTGTGCTCATGACCACTAAGTGTCTGAAAGGTGGGGATGGTCCCAGAGCTAGCACACAGGACAGAACATTCAGTCAAACAAGATAATTCTGAAACTCTAAAATCTAATGGAATTCACCATGCTATGATTTTACCTACTTAAGAAAGGTGATGTAATTTTTTCTGATTTTGTGCTCTTGGAATGCGAATGTCTATCCTATGCTGTCCCACCATGTAATCTGTCAGCTTTCACAGGTTTCCAGCTGGACAAGACTTTCTCTTAGAATGATTCACCTCTCAAGCCTCAATCACACTTGGGTTAGATAATATTTTGATGATATTGGGTACTTAGAGACACTGCTGTGGGCTAAGACTTTGGGGCTGTTGGAAAATTACAATGAATTTTGCATGTGAGGAAAGAACAAACTGGAGTCCAAAGGCCTGAGAGGTATAAGTTTAACTGAACTCCAAATTGACAGACTGAAGTCCAAAGCCCAGTATCTCAGAAGGTGACTATATTTAGGATAGGCCTTTAAAGAAATGATAATTTAACACCAAGTCCAATGAGGTGGACCCTAAGCACTCTGACTCATGTAATTATAAACTAAATTTGGAGACACAGAGAGATATCATACCTATGTACACACACAAGAAACACCATGTTAGGACACAGAGAGAACATGGCTATCTGCAAAGAAAGACACATTACATTAGTGAAATGGAAAAAGTTGCAGCCTGGGACACTCTGCACAGCAAGATTATCATCTAGCATATAAGAGATAAGAACATCTCAGACAAGCAAAAACTAAAAGTGTTTACTAATACTAAATGAATCATAAGAGAAAACAAGTCTATTTAAAATTGTATTAAAATTAATAAAATACTGATGAATAAATTTAAACAAGAAGGGGAAAATCTTATATTCTGAATTTACTGAGGAACTTGAAGTTAATACAAAGAAAAGGAAAGATATCCTTTTTCTTTTTTGGATTGGAAGAATTCATATTGTTAAATATCCATACTACCCAAACCAATCAACAGATTTAATGCAATTTTTAGTAAAATACCCATGAATTTTTCACAGAACTAGACCAAAAATCCTAAAATTAATATAAAACCATAAAAAATCACAAAGAGCTAAAGTAAATTTGAGAAGAAAGAAGAAAACTGGAGGTATCAAACTCCCTGACTTCAGGCTATCCCACAAAGCTATAGTCATGAAAACAGTATGGTACTGGCAGAAAAACAGACACAAAAATCAATGGAACAGAACAGGGAGCTCAGAAATAAACCCACATGCCTCTGGTCAATTAATCTATCACAAGGAGTCAAGAGTATACAATGGAGAAAAGACAGTCTCTTCAATAAGTGGTGATGGACAACTGGACAGATACATGTAAAAGACTGAAATTATTTCAACATCTTCTCATACTGTATACAGAAATAAACTCAAAATGGATTAAAAATCCCAATGTAAGACTGGAAACCACAAAACTCCTAGAAGAAAATATTGGCAGATCACTCCCTAACAAAATTATAGCGTTTTTCTTTGGATCTTCCTCTTCAGGTAAAGGACACAAAAGCAAATATAGACAAATAGGACCTAATTAAACTTAAAAGATTTTGCACAGAAAGGAAATATTCGACAAAAAGAAAAAGCAATCTACTGAATCAAAAAATATTTTGAAAAGATAAGACTGATGAGGGGTTTATATATCCAAAATACATAAACAGCTCATACAAATCAATATCATAATGTTATCCATGAAATTCATAACTGTTCCCCCAAAGGCTCCCCTGACTGAGATTGATTTTAAACTCCAGCTTCACATCAGGCTATTCTTTATTCTGTGAGGATATTAACTTCAGTTTCACTAATGAGCACTGCACATGCTCATCCATTTTTCATGTATACTTTTATCTATATGCCTAGTTCAGTTCTGGAAAATTTATTGCATTAGATGCTACACACCTGAAGACTCCACAATATTAAGACTGTTTCAAGATGTTTTTTATTGCATAAATTCTGAACTCCCTTTCTTTAGTAGGAAAATTTACAATAATATATTTCTTTATAAGATGATTACATTTCATGACAGTATTAGTACAATTGCTCATTTTGAAGAAAATGCTCAGCATGTCTTATTTAGTATTCTCTTGAGATTCAAATTTTTAGTTAAGACTCAGAGGTAAATGAACGAATGAATGAATGAATTGGCAACTGTGCATGTGGCATTACATACAATTTACATATTTCTCATCATAATAGGGGATTTTGTATTCTTTATCCAAGCAAAGTAGAGGCTGTGTACAGTAGAGTCACGGCTCATGAGCACAAAGGGGCTTAGAGCTGGGAAACATGCAACCATGATTACAGTGATGTTCACAATGAACCTGCTGGGATTCTCAAAAAGAGACAAAACAACCTGAAAGATGGAAGAAAGAGTGTAAAAGTAAACAAAGGTGCTCACCAGGAGAAGAATGGTTTTAGTAGCTCTGGACTCAGGGGAGCCGCTGGGGGAGGCATTGGTCCTCCGAATGTGTTGCACCCTCTGTTTGTGCCTGTGCAGGATAAAAATCATAGAGCCACTGGCCCAGAGCATAAGCCCCAAACATGAGACATCAGGGAACAAAAGCAATGCTGCAAATAACACATTACTGGTTTTGTGATGACGAATGGAAGAACAGTATCCAAAATCCCTGTTGTCTGTGATGTTTTTGTTGCTCCATTTACCATGTATGCAGACAGGAAAAATGATATTTACCAACATTTGCAGGAACCAACACAGGAGAATAGAGGGAACAATGTACTTGGGAGCTTTTACTTTAAGCTCTGCCCACCTCGAGTTCCTGGGACTGATTGTGACCACTTGAAAGACACTCAAGAGGCAGATGCTACCAATGGACACTCCCCTCCCAACTCTGTGAAGAAAGAAAAGAAGTTTGCATCCAAATTCACTGGGGAAATGTTTCCACCCAAATGCTGCCATTGTGTGGGGGACGCCTTTACAGAGGAGGGCTAAGGAGTTGGCTACAATCAGGTGCTTAAGAATCAAATCTGTGGACCTTAACCTGTACCCAGTGAAGTAAAGGGTGACGTAATGGCAAAGAAGTGACAAATTTCCCAGGATTCCAACCACAGTCTGTGTTAAGATGATCACGTCTATTGTCAGATCTCTGCTGTCCATTCTGTCAGACACCAGTCACTGATATTTTCTTCAGAGTTAAAATGTCCTGTTTGGGAATATGAGATTTGGACTACTTATATAATGTCAGCTGAAATCTGGTATTCTGCAGTTACCAGTAGTTCCCACTTAAAATTTTTTACTTCATGTTTTTCTATTACTAGCAGCTTTCCAAGGGTTGAATGTATAAAATTTAAAGTTCACTTATAATGTTTAATTACTCATTGACAGCTATACACATGACCACTTCATTCTTCACAAATATATTAGCCGGGAACTTCTGTGACTTCATGTATACAGAAGGGGAAAATGTACAAAGAGAGTGGTTAAGTATTTGTCAAAGTCTGCTGCGTAGGGCAGAGTTGGGGATGTGAAATCCCTTGGCCTGATAAAGACAGTGCATTGAACCACCATGCTCTGCCAAAAAGCTGATTAAGTATATTTATATGCTAATCCAGATCTATATGATCTATATTTAGTTTTGATTTCACAACCTGTCATTTGATTTTAGACGCGGTATTTTATAATTTTCATTACAACAAGTTTCCATTTCTGTAACATTTTATTCTATATGGGACTATTAATTATGAATAAAGTGTTAGGTATCTTAATACATTTCCATGCACTGTTGCAGGCAGAATACTGCAAGAACCTGCCTCATGACAAGTTAACATGATGAAAATGAAAATGGTTCAGTATTAGCATGGCTACAGGAAGACGCTTTTGGCAAGTATAATGGCACCTATCACAGGAATTATTGAATCAGCACATGGAATACCATAAACTTTAGGGCATAAAAAATTGATACATGACAAAATAGTGTACTAACTTATTACTTTAGGATGATATCCTTATCTGTTAATGCCATAGTTAAGTGAAAAACACTCAAAAAGAATGAAGATTTGTGAATGATATTATCATACAAGATATATATGCAAAACAGCCCCTAAAGGGTATGTATTCTTGTGCATTTTAAAAATTGAAAAATTAGATTTTTGGATTGATAATAGAATACTATTTAAATGGGTAGAAACAACATGATATGAGAGTGACAGCTGCTGGCTGTAAGTCATAATTATCATGTCAACTGCTCATTAAATTTAAGAGTGCCAATAACCTCACCATAACCAACACCCTATGGAGTTTTTTAGTGGAGACAAAATTAATGTCTCCATTAATTGCTTCAAATGTCTAAAATTAGAGAAAACCTTTCTAGTCAAGCCATTTACATTTGGATATGCTTTCTGCACAAGGTTAGATAATTAGATTCATTTTACTCTTTATTACAAAGCTTAAGGTCCACTTCTAGCAATCATCAACTTTTACTCTAGTTGCCAATCAGGTAGACTGAATAGCAGGTTGATTTTACAACTACGTTTTTAAGCACCTTCATAATCTGGCAATGTTATCACTTGGATTCAGCCACAACAATCACTGTCAGTAAGGATTACATTAAATTGTACGAGGAGCCATCAGGAATTGGTGTAGGATCTAGGATCCCATCTCTCTTCACTAGCTTAGCTCATATCTCAGAATTATTCCACCTTCCCACAGAGGGTTGGCACTAAATCAGGTTACTAAACAGACAATTGGCTTTTTCTGATGTAATCACTTGTGAAGAATCTTGATCTGCCTTTCTCTTACAAACTCTGCTTCTCAGAATGAAACAGAAAACACTTACCTGATTCCTCCCTGCTGCCAGGACAATGGACTCAGTGTGATGGTCTTTATAAGCTAGTATCTGTGTGGGAAGGAGACAACCACAGCCTGATATATGGGTTTGTGATTCTCTTACTCCCTGCCCCATTCCCTCAGAACTGCAATTATCACTCCATCTTTGGCAGCAATGGGAGTGTAGGCTTGGGATCTGAAAACACTTCTGAAAACTTTTCTCTCAGTTGTTAATGATCAAAAACAATTACACGTTTCTCATTAGCATCCCTAAGGAGACTGAAGAAGTGTTTTTGAGAGGGATTTCCTTTTCCATGATCCCTGTTGGCACATAGGGTCTCTCATGGACAAGAGTATAAACTATGTGTGCCCTCTGGAGTCTTCACTTCCTGAGATGTTTCTCTACCCTAAAACTAGTACTTTCCTAATCTTCAGACAACTGAACTGAACCGAACCATCAATTAAAGTATTGGTAGATAAATGGAATGAGACAAAATACCTGAGAAGTGTATTCAAAGGCATACAAGTAAAAGGAAGAACATGACAAATAACTCATTACAGAAATTGTTTGTTTGCACTAACCAAAGTCAATTGTGTTGGACATATTTGCAAAGTAAATGCTAATTCATATGAAACTCTTGTAGTAAAATATATTTCACAACTATTGACCTCCATCAGTGATAAGAATTAGGAGCAAAACAAATACATCAAAAAAAAAAGAAGGTTGCAAAGGAGGTTCTCACAAAATAAGAGCATTTTATCTGATAACTTGACAGATTCTATCATTCTTGCAAATATCAAATGAACTAATGCTCAGTTAGTTAATTTAAGAAGATCAAACCTGGAAATGAAACAATATGCTACTAAAAAATCAATGGGTCAAGGGTAAATTTTAAAAATCAGAATAATAACTTGAAACAAAGTAAAATAAAAACAAAATTTTTCAAAATCTATGAGATACAACACAAGCAATTCTAAGAGGGAAATTTATAATGATAAAGGTCTACCTCAATAAACAAGAAAAATCCCAAATAAACAATTTAAACTACCATCTAAAAGAAATAGAAAAAGAACAATTTCAAATTCAAAAGATAGAGGAAATAAGAATCAAAGAGGAAAATTTTAAATGTAGAGACCAAAAAACCCCATAAAATTGGTTAATGACATGAGAGCTGTTTTTTTTTTTCAAAAGATAACGAAAACTGATAAGGTTTTAATCAGGGTCATCAAGAAAAAAAGGACTGGAAAAACCAAAATAAGAAGGTAAGAGGAGAAATAACAACCATATCACAGAGATAAAAAAAATAATAAGAGAATGTTATAAACATTTAGATACAGATAAATTGGACAACTCAGACGAAATGGACAAATTTCTATAAACATGCAACCTTCCAAAAGTGAAATAGGAAGAAGTAGACAATCTAATCAGACAGATCACTAGTAGTAAAATTAAATTTGTAATTTAAAAAATCCCAGGAAACAAAAGTCTAGGACAGAAGACTTGACAGGGGATTTCCACAAAGCATAAGGAAGAGTTAATATCTATCTTTCTCAACCTATTTCAAAAACTTGAGGGGATGGAACACTCCCAAAACCATTTTAGGAAACCTCCTTTATCATTGATACCAAAACCAGACATAGACAATACAAAAGAGAAAATATAAGCCAATATCTCCATTGAGGATACATGCTAAAATCCTTAAAATATTGGTGAGCCAAAACCAACAGCATATAAAAAGGATCACATGATCAAGTGGATATTACTCAAGGGAACCAAAATGGGTTTAATGTCCACAAATCATTCAGTGTGACAGACAACATTAACAAAAGGAAGGATAAAAATTACATGACCATCTCTATAGATATAGAAAAAGCATTTGACAAAATCAACATCCATTCATGATACGAACTCTCACCAAAGGGAATATTTCTCACCATCAAAAGGGCATTTGTGACAAACCCACAGCTAACATCAGACTCAAACCTTTTCTGTGAAATCAGGAAATTTCGTGAAAAACTGAAACCTTTCCTCTCAAATCAGAAACAAGCCAGGGATGCCCAGTCTTGCCACTTCTGTTTAACATGATGGTGAACGTCCTAGCCACAGCACTCAAACAAGAGAAAAATAAAAGGCATCTGGATTGGAAGGAAAGAAGTCAAACTGTCACTATTTGATGATGACATGATAATATACAGAAAAAACCATAAAGTGTCCACCAAAAAAAAACCTATTAGAACTAATAAATGAATTCTGTAAAGTTGCAGGATACAAGATTAATATACAAAAATCTGTTATTTTTCTATATACTAATAAAGACAACCTACTGAATGAGAGAAAACATTTGCAAATGATATGACTGTTAAGGTATTAATAACAAAATATATAAACAGCTCATACAACTGCATGCCAAAAAAATTCAATTCAAAAATTGGCAGAAGAGCTCAATAGACATTTTTCCAAAAGATATATAGATGACCAACAAGAACATGAAATAATGCTCAACATTGCTAACCATCAGAAAAATGCAAATCAAAACTAAAATGGATATCACCTCGTATCTGAAAAAATGCCTATCATCAAAAACCCTACAAATGACAAATGTTGGCAAGGATGTGGATAAGAGCAAACCCCTGTACACTGTTGCTGGGATGTAAATTTGTGCAGCCAGTATGGGAAAGAGTACAGAGGCTCCTCGAAAAACTACCAATAGCACTATCATGATACAGCAGTTCCATTCCTCAATATATCCAACAAAAACAAAGACACTAATTCAAAAAGATACACGCACTCCAATGTTCACAGCGGCATTATTCACAATAGGTAAGCTAGGAAAGCAAACTAAATGTCCATCAATAGATAAATGGATAAAAAATATGCATATATATATTACTTAGTTGATTTTAATTGAAATATACAACAGAGGAATGGATAAAGAATGTGCTGAGTAATATATTGTATGTATTATATAGATATAACTCAGCTAATTTTAATTGAAATATATTTGACATATAACATGGTGTAAATTTAAGATGTACACTATGTTAAGCAGTTTGTTACATTTGTAGATTGCAATATGATTGTCATTGGAGCCATAATTAGCACCTCTATCACATTATATAAGTATCATTTTTTTACTGATTGGAATTCAGCTGATTTTTAAAAACCATCAAGTGAGTGTGACAATTAAAAGACATGTACTGGACATGTAGAAGGCAGGTTTTTCTATAGTATGCCAAGAAGACTTGGCCATGTTGGTGAGAATGGGGTTTGTAGGTGCACGCTCATATCTCTGAAGTGTTGAAACTAGTTTATGGCAGAGCCTTCGTTAAACTTGGAGCAC